GACGCCGCCCCCGGGGGCGCGCGGCCCCTGGGGACCGGGTGACAGGTGGGGTCCCCTGGACTCCACTCCCCGGCCCTCACAGCTGTCACCGAGGGGAGACCTCGCCCGCCCGGGCCGCGTCCCCGGGCCGGTGTGCGGGGAGGGGGGGACGCCGAGGCCGGGGGCGCACGGAGCCCCCCCCCAGCCCCGAACCCTCTCCGCGCTGGGCTCCGCGCGTGGCACCGGGGCCCCCTGGGGAGAGGCCGAATCCCTCCTAGAGCTGGGGCTATATTCTAGGGAGTTTCCTTCGGCATGTCCCGCCGAGGCCAAGGCCCAGGGCTCGGGGTTGTTTCCCCCCCACCGAGGGGTTCAAATCTCAGCCCGACCTGGAGGGTTCCGGTGGCCGCCGGCTTGTTTAGCATTGCGGGGACGGGGCGGGGGGTGGCGGAGGAAATCGGATATTCCCCGGGGTAGTGTTCCTTTTTTTTTTTTTTTTTTAAATTTAGGAAATGACCGTTTCTTTGTTTCCAGGAGTCGAGCATTCAGTAAAAAAGGTGTGCAGAGGTAGCTGCTTTCCGTTCCCAGCTAGATAAGGGCTTTTCAGTGGGAGTTACCCCTGGAATTTTACTTTTTTTTTTTTTTTAATAGTCCCTACTGTATTCCGGGATCTTAAGTTAGGTGAGGCTTTTATAGCTTCCTGCTCCATTGAATGCCTTCTGTGACACTCGGTAACCGACGTCTGCTTTCCACAGGAGTCTCTGTACAGTGCTGGCTTTTTCCTCATGATTGCCAGTTGTGTTTTAGGGGTGTGGGCACAGATGCTGAGAGCTGCCAATCTAGTTTTAAAAAAAAATTCATAGAGTAGGCTGGAGTTTGAAGTTCTTTCCACATGGAAAAAATAAAACTGATTGTAAAGGAATACAATGGGCAGTAGTAGAAATCGTTATTGCAGCGGTCAGAATTCTTTTATTCATTCAACAAATGTTTATTGAAGGTTTAGACTACCTGCTGGATACCCTCTAGGCCAATGCTGGTCAGTAGAAATATAATTGAGCCTCAGTTGTAATGTGAAATGTTGGGATAAGCCTCAAGGGAAAAAGAAACAGGTGCAATCAGTCCAAAAGCTGTATTTCTTCCCATCTGATAGAGCAACACCGTTATCTCTTCTATTGGCTTCATTTATGTAACCAAATAAAGATTATTGGGATATTGTAGTCTTGTTCCAAGTCTTCACAATCTGATGGGTATTTAAAAACTTCTGTATCCTGTCTTCACAAAATCTGGTCTCAGATCTGACATGAAGTCCTGGTAATTACCATGGGGCTGTGAAGAGAGGAAAGTTCAGGTGGCTTGCCTAAAAACAAAGTAAGTAGAGGTTTGGGTGATGATTATAAAGAAACTTGAATGTAACAGAAGTGATGGTGAGGCTGGGCACATCCTCTGGTGGAGCCTCGACCCTGCATGACGTGATGGGCAGAAACTTTCCAGGCTGGTAGAACAGTCGTGCAAAGGTCCTGAGGGAGGAAAAGCCACTGAGCTGCCTGCCAGCTGGAGTCTAAGCTTCTGTCTCTCTTAAGGCTAGGCATGTTGCCTGGAGCCTTGCTCAGTAAAATGTCTTTCCATTTAGCCTGGTTGTCCACATACATCCTGTTGCTTATTTGGAAAGGGTAGGGACTAAGGAAACATTAATTCAAAGTTACAAAACTCCAACGAGGAATAGTTCAGAGCTATTGTACATTATAGTGATTGTAGTTAATAACATAGTTTTTAACTTGAAAATTGCCAAGAATATATTTTCAAGTGTCCTCACCACAAAAAAATGCTAAGTATGTGAAGTGTATGCTAATTTGAGCCGTTTCGTAATGGCTCACTATAAACATGAAATCTTAGTTGAAAAGAAGCACCACTGACTCACTTAGGTTATCAAATCAAAATTATTGGGATTATTTGGTGGCCACTCTCCCTTGGGGCAAGATATACCTGACTCTCCCTGAAAAAGGACTGGAGGCTTGGCTGAAGGACCTGAGTTCAAGGCAGATGGGACACCAGCCAGGCAAGCTCTGTGTCTGGAGTTCAAATCCCAGTAACACCAAAATAGCCAAAAAAGCATCTGTGGCCAGTACAGGTACTGTCTGGGCATGGAGCTGGGTCCCCTCAGCTCTGTTATGTAGGTATAGCCCTGGTTGGAGTTGCACTGATTACGGCTCTCTATTCCAGTAGTCATTTATATGGTTTTTTTTGGTCAGTTGTGGGGCTTGAACTTTGGGCCTGGGCGTTCTCCCTGAGCTCGTCAGCTTTAGGCCAGCACCCTCCCACTTGAGCCATAATGCCACTTGTAGTTTTCTGGTGGTAAAAGAATCTCACAGACTTTCTTGCCCAGACTGGCTTTGAACCCTGACCCTCAGATCTCAGCCTCCTGAGTAGCTAGGATTACAGGTGTGAGCCACCAGCAACTGGCTCCAGTAGTCATATTTAGTTTGAGTCCAGACGCCCAAGGGTCGAGTCAGAGTTTTTTGTTTTTTGTTTTTCAGCTTCTAGTTTCCTAAACTTTAAATAGCTGAGAGTTTTAAGTATTAGAAATAGAGTATGGATTCTGGGTAGGACTGGTTTGAGCCGAATTTTATGGGGAATACTGGCATTTTGGAAGCACTGTCATAGGTTAAAGGCTTCACTTTCCGACTCAAAACCCTTGCTGGTCCCCTGGCATCACTGCTCCCATGGTTGGGGAGATACTTGACACTCAGTAGGAGTTATGTGAAGGAGCTGGGAGGAGGGCGGCAGGTGTCGGGGGAGGTGGGGAGTGTCCGAAAGGCTTGGGAGGCATTGCCATTTAAGCCAAGAGGGAGGCATTTTCTTTAAGGGAATCACTGGAATAAAAGTCTCTGAGGTCAGAACTGAGTTTATTGAGCTTAGTCAAGAGGTAGATAGCCCGGAGACCTTTTAATAGGGTCTAGAGAGGAACAGTACAAGCCCAGCTGGGAAACAGGTTGGGGACAGGTACAGGAGGAGTTGGGTTTCATTCTGAGACTGAGCACTTGGAAGTGAGGAGAATGGAATGTGGAAGCTAGGAGGAGGGCACTTGGAAGGCTGCCCAGTGGGCCAGGTAAACTACACTAGGAGGCCAAGATCCGAGGATAGCGGTTTGAAGTCAGCCTAGAAAGGGATGTCTGAGACTCTTACCTCCAAATAACTAGCTAGAAGTAATAGTGTTGGCCTTGAACAAAAAAACCAACACTCAAGAAATAGTAGCCCTAGTGATGGACACAGAACAGCTCTGACAAGTCTTGGAGACTTGAATGCACTTGGTATTGAATTTCGTTTGGGAGGCAGAGAAATCATTGGATGCCCATTTTGTATTGTACAGAACCCCATAGTGTCCAAAAGATGGGTGCTGTCTGCATGGTGGAGGAAGTGAAGCAATTCTCATCCTAGGATGGAATAAAGAAAACTTTCCGCAGCTCATCTGAAGGTGTCCTGCAGGTCTATCGATGTCATTAACATTTTATGACGTCAGCTTTCTCAGCCTTAGTGCTGTTGACATTTGGGGCCAGACAGGTCTGTGGTAATGGTTGCTCCCAGCAGCCCTGCACCTTTATCCAGTCCACACATCTCCACTTGTTGCCAGTCTTGGCATAAAATCCCTGCTACTGAGAACCTCCATGCAACCTGAAGACAGCATTAGCAGATTAGAGTTGACAGCACCCTAGAAATATATCAAAAATAATGAGGAAGGAGAAAATGTGGCCAGCTTTCTGCACCACAGGGAGGCACTTGTTTTTAAGATTTAAAACATACAGTGACTGTTTACATGTGAACCCGCCCATCAAGGAAGTGTGTTCATACTAATGAGATTGTGGACATGCCAGTCTCCAGGGGAATTATCTGGCCTATACAAATAGCAATTTAGATCCAGTATGTTAAAATCTGGGTTGCCACAAAGAACAACAAGGATTGAATATTGTCTTTTAAAAGGCTTGCTATGATGCATTAAAAGTCTAGACTCCTTTATTTTATAGAAACAAGATGCATCCATGTACTTTTCCTATAAAGCACCGTAGAAAATCCTTATATTTTATACATCTAGCCCTCATATGCATCTAATCCTCCATTTCCTTCACTCCCATGAGTTGTGTTACAATTTTATCACCCAGAAAACCTACAAAGTCATGGGTTTAGGATTCCCCTTGATTTCACTGATGTCCAGGTATGAGACTTGTGAAGGTGCATCTTGTTTAAAATTAATGTCTCTCTAGTGAGCAAAGTAACACTGTCAATACTCGGAACACTTGTGGACTCCAGGGGCAAGGGACCTTATTCAGGAAGGAAGCCAGCTTTGATATTCTTGTCAGCCATAGTGGGCAGAACTGCATTCTGAAGACCATTCACCTGCAGGCCTTGTCAGCCAGCAGTCTTCTGTAGCATAGAGCGATGCAGTCGGAGCTGTGGTTGGCTTGGTGGGGCAGCCATCATTGCTGCTTCCACAGGACGCTTGCTGGGCCCCGGGAAGAACAAAGATGGAGTCAGTCAGAGGCTGGGAGGAAAGTGTTTCAAGGCTTGTTCGGGCCCCAGTGCCCGAAATGCAGAGTGGGGTTGCCTTTCAGCTTAAGTGGTGTGAGGTTGCTGATGGAGAGTGCTTCTCAATTGCAAATGAAGGTCAGATTCTCCTTGGAAAGTGAGCAGGGGTTCAGGGCTGTCTCAGGTGCAAAGGTACACTGCAGCCTTGGAATGTGTTTGGAAGGAATGATGTGATCTGACAGGTTTTTGGCTGTGTGTGTGTGTGTGCGCGTGCGCGTGCGTATGCGTATGCGTGTATTTGAACTCAGGGTTTTGTTCTTGCTAGGCAGGTACTTTACCATTAAAGCCTTACTCCCAGCCTCTTGCTAGGGCTGCCTTGAGACCCTGTGGTCCTCCTACCCTACCATAGCCCAGAGGTGTGTTCCACTTTGGTAAGGCCTCTTCTAGGGGCAGGGATAGGAATCAGTTGCTTGCCGAGGATATGGACAAGGCAGTAGACAGCCTGCTCAGAGCGCTGACTTGGGTTTGGGGAGGGCTTTGAGTTGCAGGTACCTGTTTACCTGTGTGCTGCTTTTTGTGGCCTTTCTGTCAGCTGTCTAAAGTATCTGATCCAGCTAAGCTAATTTGTAGGTCTAGTCTAGGGAATCTGTCCTTGGCTTTGAGTCTTGGCCGGTAGGCCTGGCTCTTGGCCGGTAGGCCTAGCTCTTGGCCTTCCCACTTTTTCTGCCTTCCCACTTTTTCTTCCTACGCAGGTTTTTATTGGAACGTGAGGCCCACCCGTCCAAAGGTCACTCTGACTCTGGGTCACTGGCCCTGGGGAGGCTGGGACTGAGTAATGTTATAGGAATGTGGCCAGCCAGTGACTGCAGTTAATACCTAGGTCATTTAAATGACCACTCCCTCTGGGAAAGGGAAATCCGGCCTCGATCGCTCAGCCCTGGGGCTACAGCAGCTTCCCCGCCCGGTGGTCTGAGAACAGGGGTGTGTTTGTGAAGCATGCTGTCTCCTACCCCAGAGGAACCGCTGCTGCTGGCGGAACTCAAGCCCGGGCGCCCCCACCAATTTGATTGGAAGTCGAGCTGTGAGACCTGGAGCGTGGCCTTCTCCCCTGACGGCGCCTGGTTTGCCTGGTCTCAAGGACACTGCATTGTCAAGCTCATCCCCTGGCCGTTGGAGGAGCAGTTGTGAGTACTCTTCCTAGATGACCCCTGATCTTATTTGGGGAGAAGGTGATGGTGTGGCCCAAAGACAGATGAGAGAGCAAAAGGATGAAAGCCATTGACTGCATTCATGGGTATATGGGAATGTCAGACCAAGATTGTGGTAGTCCCACGTTTATTGGGGTACAGTTGACACCCTGTTCCACTAGCCCATTTAGAGTGCGATGCAAAGGCTTTTTAAAAGGGGTATGCATCTATTACTAATCAGATCTACAATGTTGTTACTCCTGATCCCTTAGCCAGCACTCCCTACCCTCCCTGATGCTTTCTGGAACATTTGCACGGATAGAATTGTACAGTATGTTGCATCTTGCAGCTCATCCACGTGATAGTTCCAGTTACTGCCACACAGTTCTGCATGGTGTGGACATGGGTGTTTTTCTCTGGTGGCCGTTTGGGTCTAATCCAGGTGGGATTTGCCCCAGTGGTGGCGGCATCCCTGACCTTCCTGCCAGCACCGCCATGCCCTCCTGGTTCCCCACATGCTGGGCAGCACGTGCCAGAGCCTGCTGCCATTCTGCAGAGGTGACCTGGCACAGGTGAAGTGCAATCTCTGGGTCTGGTTGACAGTTTCCTCCTGGGAAAATGTGTGGTTTTGAGCACCTTTTTGTGTGTTGGTTCAGTGGATACTTTCCTCCAAAAACCCAAATCTTTCTGTGCAGCTCTTTTGCCCTTTAAAGTTGAGTCTTTGTTCTGTTGTTGACCTAGTTTGGTGTCTGGTGCTCAGGCTTTTCTTCATTTGAGATGACAGGTCCAGTGTCTGCTGTGAGCTCCCTGGGGAGCTAGCATCTGTACCTTCACGTTGTCCCCATGTAACGTGGCCAGCATGGATTGCCGATCCTCATACGCTGACACTGAGCTAGAGGCAGACGCAGCCCCAGTTCTTGAGAATCTGGTTTGGTTTGCCTTTAGGTATTTCTTTATAAAGCACAATTGGATAGAAGGATTTTTTTGTTTGTTTTTGGGTCCGGTTGTGGGGCTTGAACTCTGGGCCTGGGCGCTGTCCCTCAGCTCTTCAGCTCAAGGCTAGCGCTCTACCACTTGAGCCACAGTGCCACTTCCGGCTTTTTTCTTTTTGCTTATGTGGTGCTGAGGAATTGAACCCAGGGCCTCATGCATGCAAGGCAAGCACTCTACCACTGAGCCACCTTCCCAGCCTGGATAGAAGGATTTTGTAGATTCAGGTCGACTCTATAGCCTTGGCGATGCTGACACAGCTAGCTGCGATGGTGGTGCACAGGGCTGGGTGGAGGAAGTATGCAGTGGTCTTTGCTCTCCATTTCCTGGCACCCAGCTCCTAAGAATCTTTGGAATCTGCTGAGGTCTTGTTTGGGATCTGCTGATGTCTTTTTGTAGCTATAGAGGTGACTTGATGCGGCTGCTTGGGGGTAACTTCCTGGTGGGGCTTGTCATTCCCAGATCATGGTTGGATGAAAGGGTTGTGACCCGCCATTTCTTTCTGCTTATTAGCAGTGATGCCAAGGTGCTGGCTTATCAATATCTCTGCTCTAAACATGAGGAATGCTCTTTCACATCTAGACTTGTTCTGACGGCAGTTTATAGTCTGAGAATTTTTTCTTTTAAAGAAGGAAACATCTGTTGTTTGCTGGTCACTCTTATTCTCAAATAAATACATCAGTTGAGGTAGCTGTATCTTTACAATATTAACTAAGGGAAATGGAAAAAGATGTTTGGATATTAGCCCTCTTGGCTGTCATTGCTGAGAGAAACGTGTTATTGGTATGTTAAACGAAAAGTTTGATTAGGGGAGTCACATCTGGAGGGATGTACACTAGGATGTGTGAACAGCAGGCTATAAATGGACCTGTGTACAATACTATCCCTTATTTTTTTAAAGACATGCATATACAGATTAGTGGTGGGATGTTCGTGGTAATAATGGTGTTGGGTTCTGAGAGCTGAACCTTGCCCTCGGCTAGGCGAGTGCTTCATTACTTGAGCCTTGCCTGGCTCTCATTTCCCTCAGGGACAGCAAACCTGGAGCTCAGTATGCCAAGGGAAGTAGGTTAGGGACAGAAAGATGAGGACCTCTCCATCTTCTATGAGGAGAACCGGTAGCTAGCAGTGACTACGGATGCTTTAGGGCTGTGGATGGGGGACCAGGACAGGGAGGAGGGGGTGTGGGTTTAAGACTGAAGGTGAGTTGGGCTCTGTGTGTTGTTTGTGGCTGAGAAGTTGCCTCTAGGTGGGATGTGTTGTGGAGATCCACTGTGAACATGGCACAATGATAATGTTTACTGGCCTCCCCAGAAGAGTGGAGGGAGATGATAATTAGCATGCTTGACCACTTTACTTGTATGCCTGTATGAGCACTTAGTGTGGTATGGTTTTGTCAGGCATAACACCTTGGGTGTGGACTAATCGGCTCTGTCTGTGCCTCACTTCCTGCTGTCAAGGAGATGAGCTTAGGTGAAAATTCTTCAAGTTCCACTGCAGCATGGTTTACATCGACCTTTTCAGGACTGGTGAATCAGGAGGTCTGAATGCACACGCAGCTGTGAAGGGTTCTCAGGAACCAGATTGGAGGTTGTGCTCACACCTGACATTTTATCCTCATGCTCTTCTGCAGATGCACCAGAGTTTTGGGGAAGTCTGGAAAAGTGGGGTTTACTATTTGATGCAGAGTATGCAGGCTGGAAACTTTGTGTCTTCAGGCTGAGTCCTGCTGTGCCTCTGTCTTCTGGGCCAGTGGGCCTTAGCCTCCTTGATCTGAGCCTCTAATGCCTACACACCACTTGTGTGGTTCTTTGTGTCTGCTGACCATCCTGCCAGTGGGTCCCTGTCCCACCTGCACTGATGAAGCCTCATCATCCATTGGGCAATGACGAGACAGGTTTATTATTTTTCAGCTCATGGTGGATTCTGAGCTGAAGCTGGGGCTGGTCAGGCAGGAGCACCAGGGTATATTAGGATCTAATTCTGTCCGCCCTGGTTCCAAACCTGTAGTGTGAGCGTGCTTTCTCTCCACACACCAGCCCCCTAGAGAACCTTCTGAGCAAGTGTGTGGCTCCCTGGAGCCTGTGGTCTTTATCCCCTAGGCAGGCCACCCCATTGCAGGGCTCGGTCAAGGCCAGGAAATGAATCCTAAAGTGAAATAAAAAAGTCACAGCAGGAGCCACCGAACCCCCAGAGTTGTTTCTAGGGCTTTAGAATGACAAGTTGGCCGGCAGGTTAGCAGTTTTAGACTCACAAAGAAACCTCTGCTTTGTCCAGCATCCCCAAAGGGTTTGAAGCCAAAAGCCGAAGCAGCAAAAATGACACAAAAGGACGAGGCAGCCCGAAGGAGAAGACACTGGACTGTGGGCAGATTGTATGGGGGTTGGCCTTCAGCCCCTGGCCTTCTGCACCCAGCAGAAAGCTCTGGGCACGCCACCATTCCCAAGCACCAGATGTCTCTTGCCTGATCCTTGCCACGGGACTCAACGATGGACAAATCAAGATCTGGGAGGTGCAGACAGGTAGGTCCTCCCCTGGCACACGTGTGGCTGGACACACCTGGACTGTCTGCCCTGTTCTCGTCAGGCTCCACAGCAGCCAGTGACCCCTGGTTGGCCAGCAGCCTGGATCCACTTCTCCTAACCTAGGGCTTCTGCTCCCTTTCCAGGGCTCCTGCTTTTGAATCTTTCTGGCCACCAAGATGTCGTGAGAGATCTGAGCTTCACACCCAGTGGCAGCTTGATTTTGGTCTCTGCATCACGAGATAAGACTCTTCGAATCTGGGACCTAAATAAACACGGTATGGAAGTGTCAACTGCCTGTAGCTGCCTCTTTGTTCATGTCACCTTTCTCCAGAATGGTGTTTCTCTACCTTCGCCTTATCACCCATGAATTAGTCTTTTTAGATATTTTTATAGCCACCTTCTGCCCCAAAGGTGCACTGAATCAGAAAGATTTAAGTTACACAGATGCACTGTGCAGTGGTCCCTAAGCCAGTAGGTTCTAGGACTGCATGGATGGCAGATTCTGCAAGTTCTTGACTGTAACATAAGACGGCGCGGCACCTACATAGAACCAATGCGCATCCTCCCTGCGCTGTATACCATCTCTTCATGTCTTGCACTCCCTTCATGTAAATGCTGTAGAAATAGGTATGACACTATGTTATTTACAGAATGAGGAGGGGGGAAATGTATGTGTATCCAATACAGACCAAATTTTTCATTTTTATGTGCCTGTACTGGGGTTCAAACTCAGGGCCTCATGCCCTGGCTTGACTTGCACTCAAGAATGGCACTCTGCCATTTCAGCCCAGCACCACTTCTGACTTTGTGTTGGTAGACTGGAGATGAGTCCTGTAGATTTTTCTGCCCAGGTTGGCTTCACACCATGATCCTCAGGTCTCAGTCTTCTGACTAGTTAAGATTATAGGCCTGAGCCACTGGCACCCAGCTTGGGTATTATGTATGTGTGAGCTTTTCTTTCTTCCTTTTTGGTGGTGTTACTGGAACTTGACCTCAGAGCTTCCACTTTAGCAAGTGAGTCATTCCTTCAGCCTAGCTTTTTGCTGTTTAGTTGGAGGTGGAGTCTCATGGACTTTCCTGCCTGCGCTGGCTTTCAAACCTTGATCCTCTAATCTCAGCCTCCTTGTAGCTAGGATTACAAGGTATGAGTCACTGGCACTTGCCAGATGCAGTTTTAAGAACTCTCTTGACTTCTGGTCAGTTAGATTCATGTGAAGAATCTGGAGGGCTGCCAGGATGCTTAGGCACTGAACGCCTGTATGTAAGGAAACATGTAAGATTATGTGTGTGTGTGTTTGTATGTGTGTATGTATGTGTATAAAGAATGTAAGGAAACATGTAAGAGATGTGTGTATATACATATATGTGTAGCCAGGTGCCGATGACTTACATTTGTAATCCTAGTGACTCAGGAGGCTGAGATCTGAGGATCATGGTTAAAAGCCAGCCCAGGCAGGAAAGTCAGTGAGACTCTTTTTTTGTGTGTGTGTTGGTCATGGGGCTTGAACTCTGGGTCTGGGCGCTGTCCCTCGGCTCTTCAGCTCAAGGAGAGCTCTCTACCACTTGAGCTACAGCACCACTTCCAGTTTTCTAGTGGCTTATTGGATATAGGAGTCTCACCCGCGCTCCGGAGTAGCTAGGATTACAGGCGTGAGCCACCCACCGGGCCGTGAAACTCTTATCTCCAATAAACCACTCAGAAAACCAGAAGTGGAGCAGTGGCTCAAGTGGTAGAGTGCTAGCCTTGAGCTGAAGGACAGCATTCAGGCCCAGAGTTCAAGCCTCAAGACTGACAAAACAAAAACAAAACACACAAAAACATATATGTGTGTATACATACGTGTATATATATAAATAATTTTCACCCCTCTGGGGGATGTCACTCTTGACATCTGTGATAGAGCTCTCTTTCTTGGCCAGGTTGGTGTTTGCACCGCCTGTGTGTTCCAAGACATTGGGCGGCATCCCTAGTGTCTTCTGAGAAGCATTTGCTCCCTGTAAGTTTGTGATGAAATATCTAGACATTGTACAATGTTCTCTAGGGGGTAAATTTTCTCAGCTGCACACCACTGATCCAGAGTCCTCCCTCTGGATACTTTTTGAAAGAACCAAGAGGCCTCTCTCCAAAGCAGGATCTAGGCCTAGAGTAACTCTCAGGCTTTTCTGGAACTCTGCCTTGAGTAAGAATTCTATATTCAGGAGTGGTAGGAAGGAACTCCTGGCATCTGTGGTTGATCCTTAACTGGTGACATGAAGAAGAGGGATTCCTCCCTGTGCAGCTCCCCCATAGCTGAGGGGTTGGGCTGAATGGAGGAGATGATGATGAAGCCACAGCTCTGTAAGAGGCTGAGGTCCTCACCTGAGCTGGGGTGGTCTTGCTCCCCCTACCACAGGACTTTCCATGCTGCTCTCCTAGACATGTGCCTGGTAACACGGGAGCCTCCAGTCAGCATCGTCTGATAAAGCAGTGGAGGCTCCTAGAGCAGCCTCCTCGGAGAGCATGTCGTAGGAGCTCCAGTCATTTCTGCCTGTGGCTGGACTTGTAGTCACACTATCCCAGATGGGCCTGCTGACAGGGCAGGCTTCTCAAAGGTGCTGCTTTTGCTTTGCTTTTGTGTTTCTGTGCAGTACCAGAGGTGGAACTTGGAACCTCACTCCAGTTATGCATGTTCTCCCACACTGAGCTATATGCCCAGCACTGGCGGTGCCATTCTTAATGCTTTCCTAGTAATCTACAATCAGCTTCCCACCTCAGGAAGATCCCTGGAGAGTGGCTTTGGAAAGAAATCATTTGCTGCTGGGCAAAGAGGACTAGATGAGAGTGAGAGAGTTGGTAGAATGGAGTAGAGTTATACTTTCCTTCGTTGTGTTACTGGGGTTTGAACTTAAGCTTGTTAGGTAGGTACTTTCCTACTTGAGTCACGTCTCCATTGCCTTTTGACACTGGTTATTTTTGAATTAGGGTCTCACTTGTTGTATGAGCATGTACCTCGACTGCAATCCACCTGTTTTAGGGTTTTCATTGTAGCTGGGATGATGGGCGTGTGCCACCATGGCCAGCTTCTTCTGTTGAGATGAAGTCTTGTGGACTTAATCCATCTGGCTGGAACTTCACAGTCCTGTTGGGATCCTAAGCACACATAAGCTCACCTTCATGGGTTTTCGGGATTGTTGGTTCACAATGGAATTCTATTCACATTTTGTTGTGTGTATTGCTTTTTTTTAGAAACAATTAAACAGTACCCTGTGTTTCTAATTCCATCTGCATTAATAGGCTGGATTTACCCCATTAATTCGCCCATCCCTCAATGGGTGGACAGAAGCTAGGCATGGACTGATGACATGTGTCACCCGACTTATTCACCGAGTAGGCAGTGGACTAGCCCTGGAAGCAAGTCATGTGACCCAGAGCTCCTGTCTCTTAGTGATTTCACACGGATGGTCCTGCTTTAGCAGGGTCCATGGACCTGCGACAGAGGTGAGGAAGGGAAGGAGAAGTGAAGATCTGTGCCCTCAGAACAGGAAAATTGCTTGAGCCCCGTTGCAGGTCTTAGTGAAGCCATAGGTAATGATTTCCCTGCACTCAGGTGTTTTATTTATTTTTATTTTGGTTAACAAGTATTTAAATGACCAGTCTTGTCATATTTCTTTCTCAGCCTAGCTGCAAAAGCACTGGAGTGCTAGTGCTGGGCCTTTGCTGCCGTGCTGTCTGGGTGGCTTACCATCTGCTTGTCTCTGGCAGGGAAGCAGATTCAGGTGCTGTCGGGCCACTTGCAGTGGGTTTACTGCTGCTCCATTTCCCCGGACTGCAGCATGCTGTGCTCTGCGGCTGGAGAGAAGTCGGTAAGCTCTGCACCAGGCACTGCTCCCTCTGTTGTGTTGGTTTGCAGAGACACAGGAGTTCTGAGGTGTCTAAGGTGTGTGTGCACCTGAGTGTGTAGGGGGATCTGAATGTATGTGAATGCATCCTGCCCTCAGTAGAACACCATCATAATTGACACTTAGCTTGAACTGAGAGAGTAGATGGCCACCATCACTGGGGGGGGGGGCCTGTTTTTCCCTTTACAAAATGGGGAAAATGTTTGGGGCTTTTTTGTGTGTGCTGGTACTGGAGCTTGAATTTACGACATAGACACTACTTGAGCCAGAGCTCCACTTCCAGATTTTGCTGGTTAATGGAGACTAAGTGTCTCATGGACTTTCCGGCCCAGGATACCTTTAAATCATGATCCTCGGATCTCAGCCTCTGAGTAGCTAGGATTATGTGTGAGCCATCAGTGCCTGGCAAAGGGGTGGGGTGCTTTATCAATTTTCTCTTCCCTTTGGTGGTCTTGAGATTTTAAAAGTTGCAGCCCACATCTGGATCCACATTTCCTTCAGACTATCTAATTTGAATCTCTTTGATTACAATTTCCAATTCAAATCATGGCATGTGCAGTTAATGGTTGAACTTTGTCCTGAAATCCTGTTTATTAAAAAATGTATTTGAAACTCAAGAACAAACAGTTGAGAAGAGTTAGTTTCATTCAGCATTTGCCTTTGCTTGAACTGCTGGCAGTGTAGGTCTTTGAGAGAAGTGTGTGAACTGAGAGTTTTCATAGCAAAACAAAGCCCACTAACTACAATGGCTCCAGGAAGCTTGCTAGTGGTGAGCTTGGTCAGCTGGGTGGTGGGTCTGCAAGCAAGGTGGGGTGGGTGTCAGATGTCTGAGCAGAGTGCCGCAGCTTGGTGGGGGGTGGCCCAGCGCTTGCTTCCGCCGTATGTGGATAGCCCTTGGCTTAGGTGCTGCTCCAAGCCAAACGGCTGAGAAGCACCTGGGGTTCTCAGCCCCAGACCTGAGATCAGCCTGGCTTATCCAGAATGCAATATGTGAAGTGACTTAAGAACCCTGCACTGCTGCTTTTTGGGAACCTGTGTGATGGGTTCTGGGAGGGCCGTCTGGAGCTGAAAACTGACCTTTGTCTGGCTGTGGGACCCGTAGGGGCAGTGTGGGGGCCCCTTCCTGCCATTCCAGCCCCCTCACCAGCCCCCATTACTCTCCACAGGTCTTTCTGTGGAGCATGCGGTCTTACACATTAATCCGGAAGCTAGAGGGCCACCAGAGCAGCGTGGTCTCCTGTGACTTCTCCCCCGACTCAGCCTTGCTGGTCACGGCCTCTTACGATACCAACGTCATTATGTGGGACCCCTACACTGGCGAGAGGCTGAGGTCCCTGCAGTAAGGACAGAAGCCTGCTCAGGCTGAGACCTCTGGGTGTTGAGGTGGTGACAATGGGCCTGCCTGGGCTGAGACCCAGCCCTCTGGTCTGGGTGTCAGGGTTGGAGACAGCGGGCCGGAGCACACAGTCCCACATCATTCTGTGCTTTGTTCTCAGCGAGCTGTCTGTATGTCTTTGAACTTGGCCCTGTGAAACCTCATGGTGACAGTTTCCATTGCAAATAGCTGTAGTATCACGCTCAGAATGCTCCTGATGTAAGCTCCATTCTAGTATGAACTTCCATGTTCTCACAGTCTGTCTCTCTCCTGTCCCTGTTGGCCTTCCAAAGCAAATAATAGGTAGCTCTGTAATTATGTGTCTCAGCCTAAAAAAGCTACATTTTTACTGTGGCACTGAGGTGAGGGCTGAGCTGCTTTGCACAGGAAGGGAGCACGGGAAGGTGCTAGGACGCCTCTAGCCCAGTTTCCAGAGGGGCACGGGTCACAGCAGCGTGGGGGTGGACATTGTTCTAGGAACTGTCCTGTTCCTCTTCTACAGCCACACCCAGCTGGACCCTGCCATGGACGACAGCGACGTCCACATGAGCTCCCTGAGATCCGTGTGCTTCTCTCCTGAAGGCTTGTACCTTGCCACGGTGGCAGATGACAGGTGAGCGCACTCTAGGAGGGCGCACAGCTAATGCTTGCCAGCAGTCCCCTTCATAACCTGTCAGCTAACTGCCACCCCCCTCCTTTCCAGGCTCCTCAGGATCTGGGCTCTCGAGCTGAAAGCTCCGATTGCATTTGCCCCCATGACCAATGGGCTTTGCTGCACGTTTTTTCCACATGGTGGAGTTATTGCCACAGGGTATGTATCTGTCAGCCTCTGCTGCCTGTACCATGCAGTTTTTAAGGGAAGAAAACATGTAGAATTTTCTTACCTATAACAAACCCTGGAAAGGGCACACCAATGCTACATTTAATTCAGAGTATTTGGTCAGTGTCACGTGCTGCTAACCTTTAAGATGGCACTTGGTTTCTAAGGTGTTGAGTGTAGCTTTTTTTTTTTTTTTTTGACATGGAGCCTTGCAGTGTGCCCAGGCTACTTGGACTCCTGGGCTCTGGTAAGCATCTTACCTCAAACCTTCTGAGGAAGAAGCACCACAGATAGGGACATCTTGACTTTTCATAACCTTATCAGGTTCCCTTGCCCACATGGCAGAGGGTCCTCTCTCTCGGGTCCGGTCACAAATACACACCCACTGTCGTGAAACACCGCTGTGATGCAGGTCCTTGTTGTTTCAGGACGCGAGATGGCCATGTCCAGTTCTGGACTGCTCCTAGAGTCTTGTCCTCACTGAAGCACTTATGCCGGAAAGCCCTGCGGAGCTTCCTGACCACTTACCAAGTCTTGGCACTGCCGATCCCCAAGAAGATGAAGGAGTTCCTCACATACAGGACTTTCTGAGCCACAAATCCACCTTCTTGGCAACGAATCCGCTGGCCTAACAGGCCAAACATCGGGTCTGATTGGAATGGAACTTCTTTGGGATTGTGAATGGCATGTAGTAGGCCAGATCCCAGAGGACTAGCAAGCCTCTCTCCAGGGCACGCACAGGTCTGGTGGAGGCGCCATTCCTGCAGTGACACAGTCCACTCGTGAATGGCAGATGTCAGTCCTTCTAGTCATTTTGTTTAAAGTGCAGTTCTTGGTGTTTTGGTAATAAAAGCAAGCAGATCCCCAGAGCCTCTCCTCGAGGGCCATACCCCCTTGGCTGGAGGTGGTAGCTGCCTGTGATGGCAGAGCACCTGTCACATGGTTAGCATGGTTTTAAGCTCCTGCGGTGGTGAAGGGCCTCTAGCCAGCAGGACCAGCTTCCCATGGAGCTGTTTGGTCTAAGATGTTAACTGAGTTACAGAGACCAGAGGCCTGTCCTGACCGATGTTGACACTATTACTGGCTTGTTTTTTGTTTTTTAAAGCAGTGGTGTGCACGTGCAGATGACAAATTTGTATGTCAGATTGTAGAAGGATGTTTCTAAACTGCATGACTGTTGAAACAGCTACTGAGTTGTCAGCTGCTGGCCACTTGTGAGCATCGTATTTATTTGTATTTCTCAACAGATGTTAAGGTACAACTGCGTTTTTCCCACTGGCATCCAAAAATTCAGATACTTAAGGGACCACTTGTGAGGACGTCTTTGCTGTGACAAGTGCTGTGTCGGTCACCTCTCCAGCCCATCCCCATGTGTACGACATCTTTGCTGCTTGACCTCATCAGCCAAGTTCATCCACCCCGAAACAGCTCTCAAAGTCCTGTTCTCCATCCAGTGGCCTGTAGTTCCCTGATCAAACACCTCAGACGAAAATCTGCCTTAGGAAATGTAATATATTTTAAATTATTTTAAAAGAAATGTACCATCTTAGTCTTTGTTTTTCTCAATTGATGCTTTATGTGGAGGCAGTATCAGCATTGTACAACTTGTGGGGAGTACAGGAATCCACCACCTTGTTGCTTGAAGAAAAACATTTCAGAATGAAGCTTTATTGAGAGAAAAGTTTATGGCTTGGTTCATTTTTTTCTTCCATTAAGGAAAAAAAAAGTACCTTGTAAATAAACTAGGCAAGAGCTGGGAATGGACCAGGCGTTTCAGGTTTGTGGTGCACGAGACCATGTGATGTCACACTCCTAGTATCCTTGGGGAGCTAGTTCATGGACCAGGGGGGATTCAGATGCATTCCATCCTCCAATGGTAGTGGGGCATGGCTCAAGCAGTCAAGCACCTGCCTAGCTCAGACAAAGCCAGTTTCAACTCCAGTACCACAAACAACCCTACAATGGGGCAGCATCTCCAGCTCAGAATGCAGAGGCCCGCAGAGCACTCAGACCCCAGTGAGTACCATGGCGTGCAGAAGTGGAGTCATGGGGGTGTGGCAGCCAACACCAGACAACCCTGCCCTATCACAAATTGAGAGAAATTAAAAAGATGGCCATCAGAAGCATCTGCAGAATGCATTGTCGCCTTTGTACTATGTACCACCAAAAGTTGTAAGTCAGGTCGGTGGCAAGTTAAGGCCCATGCTGTAATTTGATGCCTTTATCAGAAATGACCTCCAGAGGTTTTTTTCTTTGCTAGCACAGACAAAAGGCTTTCATACAAATGCAAGTTGTCCCAAAGTTGCTTATAATAACCAGCAAGCAAGCTGCCATATTCCTGTGAAAAAAAGAAACGACAAGATGGTTTTCAGACAGACTTGTACAGGCACTTATATCTGCCGTCCCTTGTGATCTCTTCTGTGGGCTTATTTACTGCGCTGCCTTCCCACCTGAGCAAGTGAGATTTGCAGACACTGGCCCACACTGGCAGAGTTGAAAAGCTAACCCAACTATGTTAGTTTTTCCTGGTATCCACACCATCATTTATATTCCTTGAGAAGAAATAAAAGACTAGGTGTTTTTTGTTTTAGAGGCTTTTTTTTTTGGGGGGGGGGGTAGGAGAGGTCTTGCCATGTCACTAGGCTAGCCTAGAACTTGCTGTACAACCTAGGTCGGTCTTGAACTAGCAATCTTTCTTCCTCCAAATCCTGAGTGCTGGGATTTATAGGCACGTAACACCATGCCAGGCAAAGAAAACAATTTCTTTATATAAAAATATAGCTTTGGTCAGAAATCCATTAGCAATCATTTGAAGTAAATACAGAGGGTGAAAGAGTAGATTCCTAGCCAGGTGCTGGTGGCTTATACCTGTAATCCTAGCTATTCAGGAGGCTGAGATCTGAGGATTGCAGTTCAAAGCCAGCTTGATAGGAAAGTCCACGAGACTCTTATCACCAATAAGCTACAAAAAGCCAGAAGTGGAGCTGTGACTCAAGTGGTAGAGCACGAGCCTTGGGCAGAAAAGCTCAAGGAAAGCACCCAATCCCTAAGTTGAAGCCTCAGGACCAGCACCAAAAACAGAAGGGGGGAAAAAATTGGCTGTGAACGGGGCTTAGTGGCAGAGTGGCCTAGCCCACATGTGGCCCTGGCTTTAATTCCTCAGTACCACAAAACAAAGAAGCTTGGGCACTGGCAGCTCACACCTATAATCCTAGTGACTCAGGAGGCTGAGCTGAGGATTGCAGTTCAAAGCCAGCTGGGGCAGGAACGTCCGTGAGACGCTTATCTCCAACACACCACCAGAAAACGAAGTGGTAGGTAGAGCCTAGCCTTGAGCTGAAGCGCTCAGGGACAGCCCCGACATCGAGTTCAAGTCCCACGACCAACAAAAAAGATGTTTTCCTCTGGGTTGGGAGACACCACATTATACTTGAAAACATTTTGTTCCCCAGAATGGGGTAGTTCAACTTCCTGTGACTCAAGAAACTGAAGGTTCAAAAAGAAAAAAAAACTGAAGGGTCAACGCCATAATGCCAAAAAAAAAAAAAAGGGTTTCTCCCAATAAAAGGTACGAAAGTGGGTTGACAGCTGACATCGCTGCTCCACGCAGCCAGAGAGCACTGCCCAGAAATCTGCCTCTGTTCCTGGCCAGGCCTCCAAGACGTCGGGTGTCGTCACAGCTTCATCTTCGTCCCTAGGCAGCTCCTCACCCTGTAGTCACGGTGGCCCCAGAGTGCCTAGGCCTCTGCCACAATCAGGTCTCGGGTGACTTGAAAGGCAGCAATGAGGGAACTCAGCTGAATCTTCTCGCTGGTGCCAACAGAGAGTCTGTACCTAAAAGAAATCAAAGCCAAGGTCAGGACAAGACTAGCCCGGTCCTGCCTTTGGGTAGGAACGCAGGGCCAGCTGATGGCTAGTGGAGGGGTTACCCAAAGCCCCTTCTAGAAAGCAGTCTCCTGTGCGTCCCCATGTTTTCTTGTGCTTAACGTGGATTTCAAGATCTCAAACTGCTGACATCTTTTAAGAGTTTACCAACAGCAGAGCTCTGAGTTTCACTGTTCTCCCTCTATGGACAAAGAAGTGACAGGTTCATGGTGGAAGACAGGGCTAAAATAGAAGCACCTCCTCATAAAGACATCTCACTGAGTATCTGGAGGGGGGTCTGTGGTCAGGTCAGTGAGACGGCGCTGGCAGTTCATCCTGTCGCTGTTTAAGTGCCCAGCTATGGAGAGCAAAATTGTCCTCACCACAGGGTAGGCAGAGAGGCCTAATTTATGTACATCAAAGGCAAATTGGAGCTGGCCCTCCCTGACGTCTGCTTTGAACCCAGAGCTGTGCTTCAGAGACAGCTGCCAGCCTCACTGGGGGCTAATGCAGTGTTGACTGTGCCAGGCAAAGTGGAAAATTGAGTTTGTGTTTGCTTTTCCCCTAGTATGCCCCTGGATGCCAAAATGCCTTAATAACAGCTGGGTGGCTAGCCGTCCCGAGATGACCTCGGGTCTGAACTGGAGCAGGCCTGGGGAATTGCAAGAGCATCTGCAGTCAGAGGCGCTGTGCCGGGGACACAGCACAAACCTGGAACTGCCCTTGTTCCTGCTCAACAAGCAACCCTACCTTCACCCTCGCCATCCACACCTCGCGGGCGCGATCCAGGCAGAAAACCCAAACCAGCCAAGTATGCTTATCACTGGGGAGGGGTGGGGCTGCTTTTACGTTGGGAAAAATACTCACTCAATGTCTGCCATTTTGGCCAGTAAATGTACTCGAACTGAAGATGGAAAGTCAACTGGGGGGAAAAAAGTAACAGTCACACTAGTGAAGATTGGTCACTCTATACAAACACCACCACCACCCAAAAAATGGAAAAGTTAGAATTTACACATCAAAGAGATACACTGAACTTATTGTGACAAAAGTGAGTGAAATCAGCTGGTGCCTGAACTCAAGCCCTCACACTGATGACAAGCTGTCAGATTTCTAAGGAAGAACAAATGATGGAGGCCGCCCTTTGCCGTGTAGTTCATGTTCACTCTCTCTCTCACACACACACACACCCCTCCTCAGATCCCACAATGACCCTAATAACCCAGAAGACTCATCAGAAGTAACGTCTCGTGGGCAACTCCACAACCTGAAAGCTGGATTCTCACCGACTGTCCACCTTTTGGTGATTTGTGGGGCTTGAACTCAGGGCCTACGTGCTGTCCCTGAGATTTTTTTTTTTGTCGGTCATGGGGCTTGAATGCTGTCCCTGCACGTTCTTCAGGTTGGAGTGGTTTATTGGAGATAAGAGTCTCTCAGACTTTCCTGCTCAGGCTGACTTCAAACCATGATCCTCAAATCTCAGCCTCCTGAGCAGCTAGGATTATAGGCATGAGCCCCAGGGCGCTGGCTTTGTCTGAGATTTTTTTGCTCAAGGCTAGTGCTCTACCAGTTTGAGCCACAGCGCCACTTCCAGTTTTGAATGGTATTTGGAAATAAGAGTCTCATGGACTTTTCTGCCCAGGCTGGCTTTGACCTGCAATCCTAAGATCTCAGCCTCCTGAGTAGGTACGATTATCATAGGCATGAGCCACCAGCACCCAGCCACTTTTGAAAAACACACACTCATTAATGAAAACTCTTGGATGCAGAAGGCTACTGGAAAAGATGCAGATGCCAGGCTCCCTGCTTGGGGCTACCCACGCTGTGTCGTAGACAAAGGTGGGACTTAGAAGGGGGCTTCCTATGACTGCTCCTCCTTTCCTTCGAGAACTACAGAACAGGGATGGATGTCAGCTCCGTGGCAGTGTGTGTAGAATGTACTAGGCTCTTGGTTTGATCCCCAGCACCAGAATAAAAAGCATATGAAATTACAAAATAGAAACCCCTGGAGGAGATAAAGTTAGTTTTCAGGGATTTCTTTCTTCTCACCTACAGTTCCAGATATTAAAAGGTTTTTGGAACAAAGTTTTAAACAGCAAGACAGAAGTGCTAAAAATAAAGACATGAGAGACCTCATTCCATTTTGGTGCTTCAAGAAAAAAGCCCGGGTTGGGGCCAAGGCTAACATGGTAGAATACTTGCTTGCCTAGTATGCTTGAGGGCTTGGGCTCAATCCCTAGTACCGTGATGAATGAATGAATGATTATGCTCTCCTAACCACATCCTCCACACATTTCAGCTGGGGAGTGGCAGGCTACCTCTGTGCACGAACAGATGAACCTCCGTCAGGATGTCGTGTAACGCCAAGCCCTTCAGGGTTTTCAACTCCATGATATCTGGGGTGAGGAGCTAAGGCACTGGAGGAAAGTTCTAGAACCCACAAGCCACAGACCTCCATTTCCAGCAGCTCTTCCCATCTCAGGTCTGGTCCCAGTTCTTACTTTCCCTGCTTTTCACCTTCAGTAAGGACCTCACACTTACTAGGCAGATACTCTAGGGCTCTTCTGCCTTAGGCCACACCCAAGGCTCAGAGCTTTCTAGAAACCACAGGTAAATCTCCTTATATTGCAGAACAGAGCAAAAGAGATTCTCCAAAGGCGTCCTATCATTATTCCTAGCTTTAAATTTCACAGCAAAATGAGAGAGTTAACACTAACCACTTTATAACTAATCCATCTTCCACCCTGAGGCTTAACTACTTTCTCCCATCCAAGAGCAAAGTTGCTCCTGGATGGCTGGAGCCATTCAGGAAGGCTCTGCCAGACGCCCACCCCAACCACCAGCCAGCCAGGCAGAGGTGCAGGCTGCAGCCTGAGCTCCCACGCTGCCCTCCGGCCTCCATGCCACAAGGCGGCACTCGTGAGAAAGGATACTTCTGTAGGCAGTGGTGAAGTCCAGGTTCAACATCCAGTCCAGAATGTTGGCGATGTCTGACTTTAGTGGGTGCCCTGTGCAGGTATACACAGTCTCCTCTGTCACCTTCCCAAAGGCCATGTTGGTGCTCTGTGCAGAGAGAGAGATGCAGTTGGTCAGAGAGAGATGCAGTTGAATTGTAGGTGGCCGCCACACCAGTAATAGTGGGCTAAGGACACTATGATTTGTGTCTTCCACATGGAAAGAGCTCACTGGCTGCTAAGCCACCCTATCAATCCTTCCCTAACCTGGCCTTGGGCTCCACAAAGGGCTTTCTGCTTCATCAAAACAGAACATGTTGAGATGTCTTATGGTTCTAGTTTTCTAGAACCATAGGTTGGTTGTCCTGCAATCCACTATACATCTGTCCATCTATCCATCCTTTTTTTCCCTTGCCATTACTTAGGTCTGCACCCAGCTCTCATGTTTGCTAGGCATGGGCTCTACCACTTGAGCTGTGCCCGCATCCTATCATTTTTGTGTATATGTGTACTGGTACAGGGACTTGAACCCAGGGCCTAGGTGCTTTAAGCCACAGCTCTACTTTTGGCTTTTTTTTGGCTTGAACTCTGGACCTGGGCACTGTTCCTGAGCTCTTTTGCTCAAGGCTAGCGCTCTACCACTTTGAGCCACAGATCCACTTCTAGTTTTCTAGTGGTTCATTAGAAATAAGAGTCTCAGACTTTCCTGCCTGGGCTGGCTTCAAACGGCGATCCTCAGCAATCAGCCTCCTGAGTAGCTAGGATTACAGGCGTGAGCCACCAATGCTCTGTCTACGTCTAGTGTTTGCTGATTACTTGGAGATAAGATTCTCATGGACTCTGCTACTCTGGCTGGCTTCAAACCTCTATCCTTAGTAGCTAGGATTGTGAGTGTGAGCCACCACTTCCCTGCTCTTGCTCATCATTCTTGGGGAGTGATTTGCAGAGTGACGTTAGAGCTCACCTGCAGGATGTTCAGAGCCCTGCGCATATCTCCACTGGACAGAGTCACAAGTGCTTTCATTCCATCTTCACTTATATCCACTCTGCAAGGGAATGGGCACGGGATTCAGGCTCCCCTCCCCCCCAAAGTGCAAGCATTCCCACAGGGGATGAGGTGGCCTTCAAGACCATGGCTTTCTAAGACTCACAGAGAAAAAGAATAGAACAATACTGTCTTGCTTCACCAGGCATTCCTACGTGCAGCCGGCTGTGAGTGACACTGTCTGGAGAGGACGGAGCCCAGAGCCTGTCTCCATGTTTAGGAGCTACTTGCCTGGCATCTCCCTGCACAGCATGCGGCTTCCCTTTTCGGGGCTGGCGGCATCTGCTGAGGAGACTCAGCAGCATGCACTTGGCAGAGGTGGAGTAGGAAGGAACAAGGACACCGCCCAAGGAAGGAGGGACTTGGAGAAACTCAGATGGATTCAAGGCGAGGCTCCAGGAGAGGAAATGACAGTGGCCAGAACCCCCTGGGAGTCCCCCCGCGCCCCCCCACTCCCCAAGACCTCAGCACGCACTCACTTCTCCTCTTGTACCACGTGCTCCAGGCGGGGGACCATGAGTTCTGGCGTCAGGGGTCCAAAGCGGAACCTGGTACAGCGGGACTGCAGGGCCGGGATGATCTTGGACAGATAGTTGCAGATGAGACAAAATCTGGTATTTTCTGTGAACTTCTCAATCACTAGACGAAAAATAAAACCATGTCCCATCCGTGACCAGCCCCACGCACCCACCAGAGGACCCAGCACCCTGAACCCTGCAGGCGTCAGGAGGGCACAGAACAGGTTTATGTAAACCTGTTTAAACAGGTTTAAACTTATTTCCCACACAGCTTGGGAGAGTGACCATAGGCAGGCTGTCACGATGTGTTCAGGACCTGAGACCAGCCACTTTCTCCTTTTGCTGGGACTGGGGACTGAACGCGGGTCCTTCTGCTTGCCAGGCTACGGCTGAACCACTAGGGCCACACACAGCCCAGCCTTTGTGCTTTTATTTTTCTGATAGTGTCCTGCGTTTGCCCAGGCTAGCCTCAAGGATCCTCCTACCTCTGTCTCCAGGTAGCTGGGATTACAAGTGTGCATCACCATGCCGGGCTTGTTTATCAGAGCATCTTGTTAATTTCTGCCAGAACTGGCCTGGAACCTCCATTTTCCTACCTCTGCCTCCAGAGTAGCCAGGATTATAGGCACATACCACCACGCCTGACCTAACTACTCTGCTTTCAAAGCTCAAGAGATGTGTTGCTGTCACTGTGCATATCTTATGATGTGAGGTCATTCTGGCAGAATTAACACCTCATACCTGCAGATCTGAGTCCCTATACACCAGCCCTTGTCCTCTTGCCCAGCAGCCAGGTGACAATGCTCCATGCTTTTGAGTGGGGCCAGGGGACTTTGAGCAGATTCCATTGTTCTGTCCAGAGGCCTTGGAGCACTTAGGGGAGCACCACACAGAGCTGAGGTGCTGGGGACACAGTGCCTCTCTAAAGGCACCCAGTGTCCCTCGCAGGGCCATCTGCCCGGAATGACGGCCACTCTAGAGCACAATGGTGGAGACAGGCAGCTGACACTTGCAGGACCAGACGACAGTCTGACATCCTCCTTGCAAGGCCTCTGCAACCTGGGCTGCAATCCACTCCTCCTCCCCAAGTTCCTAAAGGCGGTTCTGTCTCATGAGAGAAGGCCAGGGCCCTTTAGCCAACAGGAAATGCCCTTACTCTATGGCATAGGAAGACCACAGGGTTCTCACCCCTCCCCACTGGCCACTCACTTGGCACGTGGTGGGGTCATGCCCGCATGGAGGGGCATAACAGGTAGTCTTTTCCCTGTGACAGGGTCTATGTCCAACAGTTTTGGAAGGAAAATCTCCCCATAACCCCCACAGAATGCTAGCGTCTGCTCCTTGGGGAGGGGCAGCCCAGGCTCTAAGGTCCTCTGGTCCCGAGCATGACTCTGGAGGCTGAGCCACGCTGGGATCTCACATGCTGAGCTTGGCTGCTCTTCTTTACCTCGTCGCAAGGCATTCTGGGCATCCTGAGTCATGGCGTCGGCTTCGTCCAGGATCACGAGTTTAAACCCTTTCCTGGGAAAGCAAACGGTGTATCTCAGGATCTCTTAAATCTCATGACAATAGCAGGCCCAGGCTTCGCCTTCACATTTGGGCCATCAGTTCCTGTGTCCTGAAAGCCAGCTGTCCTGGACGGGGACCAAGGCTGGCATGTGCAGTCTCCGACAGGAAGAGCCCATTGCATCTCGAGGGCAGTGAAGGCCAGGCCTATCCTCTGCACCGTCCCGTGCCTGGCTTCCTTCCTCACAGGACCCCACCACTACCTGCTCTGCCTGGGGGGTGAGACAGCATTCGTGAGGGTCAGCTTGAGCTCTACCACTGGTCATGCCATGTGCCCATATGCTCATGTCTTTCTTCTTTTAGTGCTGTTCCTGGGGCTTGATCTCAGGACCTGGGCACTATCCTGTAGCTTTTTTTGCTCAAGACTAGTGCTCTACTCCTTGAGCCATGGCTCGTTAGTAGTCTCATGAACTTTCCTGTCCAGGCTGGCTTTGAACCACAATCCTTCCATCACAGCACCAGACCACCTTTTTTCCTTTTTATTTAAACCACTGTTCTGACATTGTCTTTTTAAAGGTCAATGCAGCCAGTTTTTATGAACGTCACATTGTGCTTCCCCTGTAGAAGGCAGCTACTGATAAGAGGATTCTAACTTTTATTCCCAGGCTGTAGTGGAAGCGCAGTCCCCTGATTTCTGCCTCCCAAGCAGCTGCAACTACAGGTGGAAGCTACCGAGCCTGGCCTGTTGTAACATTGCTCACCACCTTCTTTGAATTTTATCTTTGCATAGCTTGCTATTCACAAAGTCTTGTTTTACCAATGGGGAGGATTCAAAAAGCTGTACCATCTTATCTATCAGGTCTCTGAGAAATTATACAAATCATTCTTACTTAAATATTGTCCTGGTGCTGGCAAAGCTCAGGATTGGTCCCCGCACGATATCTATGCCTCGGTCGTCGGAAGCATTCAGCTACACATAGGAGAAAGAGGCCATCATGAAAACCATATACTTTGCTACCTATGAATTCTGGTTTCACTGTATCTCTGCCAACTACTTCTCCAGGGCTAACAGCAGCTAAGAGATAAGCATTAGAAAAACAAAGCACCCAGAAGTCCCTAAACATTCCATTACATCTGCAAGGCAAATGGCTATTTCCCTTCTCTTGAGGACGTCTCCACACAAACTTGGGAATTCAAGGATGACCCCTTCCAAAAGACCTCTGTCCTGAGCAAGACAATGCTATGGTGTTTTGTGATGTTTGTTTTGTTTCTGTGCTGGTCTTGGGCTCAAACTCAGGGCCTCAGAACTATCCCTGAGCTTCTTGGTGTTCAAGGCTAGGCCCTCTACCACTTGAATCACAGTTCTACTTCTGGGTTTTGGTAGTTTATTGGAGGTAAGAGTCTCATGGACTTTGCTGATCAGGCTGATTTCAAACCATGATCCTCAGATCTCAGCCTCCTGAGTAGCCAGGATTATAGACATGGACCCCCAGTGCCTGGCTAAGACAATGCTATGTTTAATTAATTATCAAAATCCTCAAGAGGTTTATCACATTCTGAATTCACCCAAGAGAGTACAAAGATGGGAGCGGCAAGGTTCTGACACCTACACCTAAAGAGTAACTCAAAGCTGGGCACTGGTGGCTCACGCCTGTAATCCTAGCTACTCAGGAGCCTAAGATCTGAGAATCATGGTTCAAAGCCAGCCCGGGCAGGAAAGTCCATGGGACTCTTCAATAAACCACTAGAAAACCAGAAGTGGTGCTGTGGCTTAAGTGGTAGAGCACTTGCCTTGAGCTGAAGAGCGCAGGGACAGCACCCAAGCCCATAGTTCAAGCCCCACGACCAACAACAACAACAGCCAAAACAGTAACTCAAATATTTTTCTTGTAATAGACAATATTTAGATTATGGGAGTTGTTTTTACTGTTTTGCATTATTGGGGTTTGAACTCAGGGCTCGGCACTTAGTAGAACCAGATAGGTTCTCACTTTTTCCCTGGGCTGCCCTGAACTGTGATCCTCCTACTTGTATTCCCAAGTATCTGGAATACCAGGAGCATGCCACCATGCCCAGATTTTTTTTTTTTTTTTTGGCCACAACTGGCCCTGAACCACAGTCTTCCTTACTTATTTGCTGAATGAGAATAATCCTACTCACCTCCAAGACCATGGAGTTGAATTCTTTATCTTTGTACAGCTGCTTAGCACAGGCGAGGATGGTGGATGTTTTTCCTGTCCCTGGAGGGCCGTAAAGAAGTAGGTGTGGCAGGCGGTCCTCACTGATAAATTTCTGAACTGAGGACAGGGAAGAAAAACAACAGCACTAGTCTTCAGGAGTCACACATTCACAGTGAGCCCTTGACCTGGGCTGAATGCACTTCAGCCCTATGGAAGTTCCAACCACACACCTGCCAGAGTCAAAACTTCCTTTGGGGTTGGGTGCCGGTGGCTCAGGCCTGTAATCCTAGCTACTTAGGAGGCTGAGATCTGAGGATCACGGTTCAAAGACAGCTCAAGCAGGAAAGTCCGTTACACTCATCTCCAACAAACTACTTTTAAAAAGCTGGACGTGGCGCTATGGCTCAAGTGGTAGAGCACTAGCCTTGAGCACACAGAGGCTCGGGAACAGAGCCCAGGTCCTGAGGTGAAGGCCCAGGACCAGCAAACAAAACAAAACTTTGTTTTGTAGTACTGGGATTTGTAGTAGACAGGTGCTATATCAATTAAGTCATAGCCTCAATTTTTTATTTCCTTTTTTGCTTTTTAGATTGTGCTTTTGTCCTGGCTCTGATACTCCTACCTCTGTATCCTGAGACAGCTGGGATGACAGGTATGGACCACCATGACCAGTCAGGAATGAAAACTCTTTTCTTTCTTTTTTTTTGTTGGTCGGTTATAAGTCTTGCTTGATCTCGGCCTGGGCGCTGTCCCTGAGCTCTTCAGCTCAAGGTGAGCGCTCTACTACTTGAGCCACTTCCAGTTTTCTAGTGGTTAATTGGAGATAAGAGTCTCACAGACTGTCCTGCCCAGGCTGGCTTTGAACTGAGGTCCTCAGATCTTAGCCTCCTGAGTAGCTAGGATGACAGGCTTGAACTAGCAGTGCCTGGCAGGAATGAAAACTCTTAAAGCCACCTTCTACAACACTTGGTCAGATTCTTTCAAGTTATTACGCAGTGGAGATGGATTGTTCAAAAGAGATGACAATGACACTTACTGGTACTCAAAATGTCCTGATGAGAAATGAGATCATTCAGTGTCTGTGGTCGGTATTTCTCAACCCTGAAACACAGTTTAGGATGTTATATAAATAAATGCAAGAATATTTTTGTTAGCTATAAAAAGAGTCCTTTCACATCCGATTTCAAAGAGGAAGAGAAACAAAGCCTTCAAGTTTGAACCTGGACCCATGGTCCCCAGCCTGGAGCATTCAGTGCAATCTGGAGACATTGTTGTTAAACTAGGTGGCTGGGGAGATGCTACGGGTACTTTGTGGGTAGGTGTATCCTACAATACATAGGCCAGTTGCCTTGTGCCCCCCCCCCCCCCCCCAGCTGACTCTAAATATCAATAGCAACGAAACCAGCCTTAACCTCATCTCTCTAGCTGTCCATCATCCTGATCTGGATGAACACTTGATACTTGAATTTAAAAGTGAATTCAAACAAACTCAAATACCTATCGGAAAGGAATGGATAGTAAAATACCATCTATGACTGTAATGCAGTGCAATCTGACCATAAAAGGGGTGAAGAAAATAGGCACCGTGATACACGCCTATAAGCACAGCAAGCACATGGGATGCTGAGGCCTCAGGGGGTTCAGGAGTTTAAGATTAGCCTGGGTCACACAAGTGATCCTGCCTCAAAAACAAGAGAACAAAGATTTGCTCCAAGCTACAATGTAGATGAACCTTGAAAACAGGATGCTAAGCAAAAGAAGCCACACACAAAGCCACATTTGGCATGACTCCACTTATCCATACATAGTAATCAGTTGTTGCTGGGAAGGGATGAGCCAGTGATGATAGGCTTTCCATCTAGCATGATGAAGAATTTTGGAACTAGACAGTGGGATGACTGTACAGCATTCTGAGCGTCCTCAACGCCACTGAATGGCCTCTTCCAACTAAAACAAATGTAACAGTATCAAGTAGGAACCTGGCAGTTCTTCTAAACCAAGCCAAACTCCATCAGCGGCAATTCACTATGACATGTTTGTATTCAAGACAGTTGAGGACAGAACACGAGCTGAAGTTATCTGGGTTCAAATCCAAGCCCGTGTTCTAGCTCTGCCAGTTATTTAAACTAAGATGCAGTTTCTTCGTGTTGTAAAATCCAAATACTAAGAGTAACCGCCTCCCAGGGTCTTTTCGTAAGGATCCATCATGGAAACAAGAAGGCCTGCTAGTTAGTTAGAAAGCTGATCAACAAAGACGGATGATAAAGTAGCTACTGCTTAGGCCCAGATTTGACCTGAGGTCTCACAGATGGGGAGAGGGGAGGAGGGGAGAGGGAAGAAAGGAAGGAGGGAAGCAAGCAGGAGGGGAGCGGGCGCTTGGGCGAGGCCAATGCAAGGTGCCCAGTTGTGCTTTTCCATCAGCCACGCGTGGAGGAGCACTGGCAAGAAGGGAACGGGGGGGGGGGAGCTGGGGATCCTGGGGGCGTCGAGGCACATCTAGATGGCTCGGGGGTCGCAGCCCTCCCTCTGTCCTCCACCCGGGGACGTCGGAGAGGCCGGGCAGGGCCCCGGCCATCGGGCCCATCCTCGTGTCGCGGACGCCATGCTTCTTCCTACCAGGGCAGGTTCCTGATCTTTACAGCGGGCTGCGGCTGTTGCTCCATGGCAGGAAGACCAAGGTGACCCGGGATCACCTGTACGAGAACCCGACGCGAGCAGACCCCGGCGAGCCTCCGACGACGAGTACGCGCGCGAACCCAGCTCTCGCGAGACTTCGTCTACCTGGTACTTAGCGTACGTGCGCGGGTACCCGACTCTCGCGAGACGGCTGCCTGCTTCCGGCTTTCCTCCCTTTGTCCCGCCCCCGTCCGTTGCCAAGGCGCCGGTTGCTAAGTTACCGGAAGCGGCAAGCTGCTTTCCTCTCTCTCCCTCCCTCCCTCTCTCTCCGTCCCCCCCCCCACCATGGCCTGCTCTGTCCATCTCTCTGCGATGTCCAGAAGCTTCCAGAGTCCAGGCCGAGCCTGCAGGCCGGACCGCCGCCAGTCAGCCTGGCAAATGAAGGCCATCTCCAAGTTTCTGACGCTCGCTCGCGTGCGAGGGAACAGAAGCTTCCAGAAGAAGAGGACCCAGTCGTGTGACGGGGGCTGTGGAGTGAGAGGCCCGGGGCGGAGTCCCCGCACCACCGCTGCGACGGGGGGAATGACCCGGAAGTCAGCCTTCCACCGGCACAGACACCGTCACAGACACCATCACAGTGTCCCGGTTCTAAAGAGGGGTCCTGGCAGGCCTGGGCAGCAGCCACACTGACCAATCTCCAGAAAACCATTCCAGAAAAACAACAACAAACTTCCAATGGAGTTCATCTGTTGTACACTGGAAAGGCAGAATTCATAGGTATGACAGGGTCGCCGTGATCTGAGATGTTGAGAATCGGGATTCAAGTTTTAAGTGTGTTCTCCTAAGCTGAGGGGAGTTTTCTACCACTTTGTTGTTAGGGCAGGGTCGAGTCTGCATTTTCCAGCAATGATAGTCTATCACATCCATAGAAAAATTCAGGTTCGTTTTTGTTTGTTTGGGTTCTTGGTTGGTTGTGGAGCTTGAACTCAGGGCCTCCGTGCTGCCCCTGAGCTTTTCCACCTAAGGCGAGCGCTCTACCACTTTGAGCCACAGCGCCACTTCTGGTTTTCTGGTAGTTAATTGGAGGTAGAAGTCTTTCCTGCCTAAGGTTGGCTTTGAACTGTGATCCTCAGCTCTCAGCCTCCTGAGTCACTAGGATTATGGGCAGGAGCCACCAGCACTCAGGGTAACTCAGCTTGTTTTGGTTTTTAAAGAACAGAATGGGACCTGGGCCAAGCTCTAGGAGCCAAGAGTTCATTCCCCAGTATCACACAACATAAACATGATACGACAAAAATACTAGGAGGTGACAAAGCAGCATAACTGGGAGACAGACATGTCCTTTGCACCCCATCTTGAGGGTGTCATCTGCTCTAGGAACAGAATAGGACAGAGGGCCAAATGAGTGATGTTACCTGTCCCCTGACTTCTGCCTGGGAGCCCAAAGCAGGGGATCAAATGGGGTTGATATGACAATATCCCTACTCTACTTTCTCTGTGGGCCAAATTGAACCCAGGGTGTTGAGATCGTTCGCTGCCACTCCATTCTGCATAGGTTGCTTCTCCACAATATTCATTCACTAGGGTGAGGCCCTGTGTTTGATCCCCACCCCACAAAATATACCACCATGATCTCCTGGAAGATAGTGGTGAGTATTTGAACACAGGAATGTGTAAAGCACCTACCACATTCTACTTTACTTTCCCCCTTCTAGCATGTTCTCACCCAGTTTTTCCTTGCTTCATATCTTCTTCAACTCAAGTTAAACCGAAAGGATTAACTCATGAGGCTCTGCCATAATCTTGGCTTTATCCAACCACCATCATAAGCACTAACTTGCTAAGGATCCTTTTGCCTTCCAACATGATGCTGTTGACACCTTAAATTGGGAGATTTAAACAAGACCGGAACAGGTTTGCATCATAATACCCAGTATGGGCATCTAAGGGGTAGTTTTATGTGAGTGTAACTTGACATGACTGCAGCTATGATTGAGTAATAGCCACTGTCACACGCCCTGAGTAACCTATAATGGTTTTTCTTGCCCAGTTTCCCAGCAAGTCATAAAAAAGATGAAACCAGCGTCCCCTGTGGGGCTTTGCAGTTAGACCCAAGGATGGCTCCAGAGATGTCTCTGAGGTGGAGGTACACCAGATACATTCCAGCCAGGATGAACTTGCTCTTGTTTTCACCCCAAAATAAACCCCCTCTTTCTGGCCCAAATTGAGAGGATCCACTGGTTTTGAAGCCATGCAGGACTACACCGCCACCAGTAAACTCTCCTCTTTCTTTGTCTGTCTGTCGCTCTCTCAACAATCTCTTGGGACCTTGCCAGGAAGGGTGTGTGTGTGTGTAGCTTATATATTAGGACTAGTTGATGTGGCATACAGAATTCATCTCTGTGACATCATAGCCTACATTGATGATGTCATCCATCATGCACTACCTCCCTCCATAGATAAGTTCAGTGACTGGACAAGCATTTCTAACTCAACACTGCACTCCTCAGGTCTGGAACACAGCTTGGTTCCAAGGAAGCACTCACTGAATGTTTGTTGGGTGAATAAATGATAGAAGCTTCTATTCATTAGATGGTTACCATGGCCCAAACTGTGTGTGTGTGTGTGTGTGTGTGTGTGTGTGTGTACTGGTCCTAGGGCTTGAACTTAGAGCCTGGGCATTGTCCCTGAACTACTGCTCAAGGCTTGAGTCGCAGCTCCACTTTCTGGTTGGTTGGTACTTTTTATTGGAAATAAGAGTTTCACAGCCAGGCGCCAGTAGCTCATGCCTGTAATCCTAGCTATTCAGGAGGCTGAGATCTGAGGATCACGGTTCAAAGCCAGCCCGGGCAGGAAAGTCTGTGAAACTCTTATCTCCAGTAAGCCACCAGAAAACCAGAAGTGGTGCTGTAGCTCAAGTGGTAGAGCGCTAGCCTTGAGCTGAGGAGCACAGGGACAGCGCTCAGGCCCAGAGTTCAAGCCCCATGACCGAAAAAAAAAAAGTCTCAGACTTTCCTGCCTGGGTTGGGCTTCCAACTACAATCCTCAGACCCTAGCCTCTTGAGTAGCTAGGATGACATGTATGAGTTGCAGACACCTGGCCACACATTGTTTTAAGTGCTTTACATTGATTACATACATGGTCTCCAACTTAAAGGGGTTCAACTGAAATGGTCTCTCACTTTTTTTTTTTTTTTAGTTTTGGCCTTAGATGGTTTTTGATTCCTGTGGTAGTTAGGACTTGAGGATGGGTTTGCTTGGGGTTAAGGATGGGTTTGCTTGGGGTCATCACCTGTTGCAGGAAGCTTCCACCCCTGCCACTGGCCTGATGTGCTAACTGGGTTAGATCATCTGCTGAAGTTCTCAAGACTGGAGCTTATCAAGACAGTTTGAGCCTCCAGCCTAAACTCTCTGGGCCTCTGCTGTCAGTGGGCCCTGGAGTGGCAGCAGTAGCAGCAATGCCATCTCTTGGGGGACTCGTTAGAAATGCTCATTCTTCTCCCCTCCATCCATCGCAAGCCCAGCAGATCTGAAGCTCCAAGGCTGGGGCCCCATCTTTGCAGTAATCAGGCCTCCTGGGGATCCCAGAGCACTCAGCTGTGAGACCCAGACACCAGCCCACACTGCCTCTCACAGAGTGCTACAACGCTCACTTCTGAAGAAAAAGAATGAAGCTGGGCACCTGTGGCTCACACCTGTAACCCTAGCTGCTCAGGAGGTTGAGATCTGAGCATCATGGTTCAAAGCTGGCCCAGGCAGGAAAGTCCGTGACTTTTTTTTTTTTTTTGGTGGGTGATGGGGCCTTAACTCTGGGCCTGGGCGCTGTCCCTCAGCTATTCAGCTCAAGGCTAGCGCTCTACCACCTGAGCCACAACTCCACTTCCCCCATAAGACTTTTTTTTTTGGTCGGTTGTGGGGCTTGAACTCTGGGCCAGGGCACTGTCCCTGTGCTCTTCAGCTCAAGGTGAGCACTCTACTACTTGAGCCACAGCACCACTTCCAGTTTTCTAGTGGTTTATTGGAGATAAGAGTCTCAAGGACTTTCCTGCCCAGGCTGGCTTTGAACTGCGATCCTCAGATCTCAGCCTCCTGAGTAGCTAGGATTACAGGCGTGAGCCCCCGGCACTCAGCTTCCAGAAGACTTTTATCTCCAACAAACCACCAGAAAACCAGAAGTGGCACCGTGGCTCAAATGGTAGAATGTTCGCCTAGAGCTGAAGAGCTGAGGGACAACTCCCTGGCCCAGAGTTCAAGCCCCAGGACCAAAAAAAAGGGGGGGGGAGGTTCTGTCAAAAACATGAAAGTCCAGGCTGGGAAGTTGGCTCAGTGGTAGAGCGCTTGCCTCGCATGCATGAGGCCCTGGGTTCGATTCCTCAGCACCACATAAGCAGAAAAAAAAAGCCGGAAGTGGCGCTGTGGCTCAAGTGGTAGAGCGCTAGCCTTGAGCTGAAGAGCTGAGGGACAGTGTCCAGGCCCAGAGTTCAGGCCCCACGACCAGACCCAAAAAAACATGAAAGTCCTACAAATTGGGTTTCACAATTTAGTTGGCTACTTGTTTCTTTTTTTGGAGGTGTGGGGGGGGGGTCCGGTTGTGGGCCAACCTCAGGGGCGCTGTCCCTTAGCTCTTCAGCTCAAGGCTAGCGCTCTACCACTTGAGCCACAGCACTACTTCTGGCTTTTTTTTTCTACTTATGTGGTGCTCAGGAATCGAACCCAGGTCCTCATGCATGCAAGGCAAGCGCTCTACCACTGAGCCACCTTCCCAGCCTGGCTACTTATTTTTGTGCCAGTACTGGGGCTTAAACTCTGGGCTTTCCATTCTCACTTGCCTTGTTTTGCTTAAGGCTGGTGCTCTACCACTTGAGATCACACTCCTACTTTCTAGTTGGCTTTTTTTTCTTTTTTGAAGGTATAGGATTTGAACTCTAGGGCTTTATGCTCGTTAGGTGCTCTACCACTTCAGCCACCCCATTCCTTTAGGTTTTATTTTTCAGGTAAGTGCTAAAAAAAAATGTTGCCAGCCATAGACCTGGACCCTCCTGTCTCTACCTCTCAGTAGCTGGTGTGAACCATGATGTGTCTCTTGTTGGCTGAGATGAGGTCTTTTATAAGTTTTATTGCTTTTGCCTAGCATGGCCTCAAATCCTGATCCTATTTCTACATCCCATGTGGCTTGGATTACAGGTATGAGCCATCATGCTTGCCCTCTACATTGGCTTTTGTCAAGCAATTCATGAAGGGCCTTCCAGTGAGCTGAGCAGCAGAATCGGCTCCCTAAGCAGAAAAGGCAGAAGAAAGCAGAGACAAAGGCAGATGGATGCTTTGAAGCTCCTTTCTTCGAGAGGGCCATGGTTCGAGTGGTTGAGTGAGGTCCAATAGGGCTCAGAGGTTGGAAGTGTGGCCTTCAGTGGTAGAGTTTGGGAGGTGATGGAACTGTGAAGTGGTGGGGCTTAGTTCAAGGTCATGAGGTCATTAGGGGTGCTGTGCTGCTCCTTCAAGATGAAGAGCAAACTCCATGCTCGACCCTTTCTGGCCTCCTGTTTGCCCATGACGTTCTCGACCTTGGACTTGCCGCCCCCGGCACTGTGAGTGGAATTCCCCACACCTCACCTGGGTCAGCGCACAGGGTTAGCTTGGTTGTTCCTGGCCGCTTTGTTTTGGAAAGCTGGTCTATTTTCCATCACCTACCACAAGTGACTTCCTTCTGGTTTGGTCTGGTCTACTTGGGTCTAGTTCAAGTGCTAAGTCCACAACAAAGAACCTCCCCACGCTCATACATTTTTGTTTAACAAGTACTCACATGTGTACCTGGAAAGCAACGTCCTGGTCAATAGTCTTCTTGCTTATTTCTATCTGACAGCATTCAGCCACAAGGAACATGGCTGTTGGCAGATCTCCTGACCAGAATTTGGGATTTTCCCACAAGATTCCTATATGTTAAACGTGAGCCAGGGTTAACACTTAAAAACAAACAAAAATCACTATCCTGGCCAAACAAACCACTACAAGGCTCCTCGGAGTGATGTCTCCCTAGCAGGTAGAGATGGGATTACTCCTGCCTCTGGGCCTCCATCCTGGGGTTAACCCTGGGGGAGGGGGTGAGCCAGGCTGGCATCACCATGTGAACAGAGACATCAGAGAACACAGGCCCAGACACTTCTTATATAACCACAACCAGATTTGAAATGCTTTAATAAAACGTCAGGTCCTGGAGATGCCAGGATCCAAAATTACAAACGAAATTACCAACAAATAGTATTTGCTTTCCAAATTGGCGGCTGGGAAGGGAGTCCTGCATTTTATCATGGTCGACTGTGACTTTTGCCACGGCACTGACCACCGTTGTTTATTTTAAAGACTTGATCTGAGGTGCGGATGGATGTGAGCCTTACCTTTGGCCCATGCCAGAGGAAGAACATCAAACTGGGTCTTCCTCCAAACACCCAAAGGACAATTGGGACAAAGGTCATTGTTTTGGTGGCAATGGCATCATGAGATGGCAAGTCCTCAGACCCTTCTCCCCAAACAACGATCTCTTGTTGGAGTCTCCCACATCAGAGCCCAGGGCCTTCATCCACTGTTCCTTAAATGTTTGTTGACTGTGGGTAGGTTCTGGGGCTTGAATTCAGGGGCCTGATACTCTTGCTTAGCTTTTTTTTTTTGTCCTATGCATGGCTGGTTCCCTACCACTTGAGCCATACCTCCACTTCTGGCTTTTTGCTGATTAATTAGAGATAAGAGTCTCACAAACTTCTCTGCCCAGACTGGCTTCAAACCATGATTCTCAGATCTCAGGCTCCTGAATGGCTAGGATTATAGGCCTCGACCCTGGTGCCCGGCTTGTTGACTAAATAATTTATGACGGTGTATGTATTAATCTTTGACTCTGATTCTGGGTCTGAGATTGGAAAGGTGAACTCATACCAATTTGCTACCTAACACTCGTGTGGACGGGGAAGGGTAGGGGGTGGCAGCCAAGGATCCCCATTGTAAGACGTGTAGTCCAGAAATGCAGAGAAGAGCCTCTGCCTTCAGGGCTGGAAAAGATGCTTTTGTAAGTTGCTGTCATTCGGACCTGCAATGTTCCCCTAAAGATTTGTGTGTGACAGGCTCCATCTCCAGCTTAGTGATCAAAGGAGATGGTAGAACCCGGGAGGCGGGGCCTGGTGGGAGGTAGTTAGGTCATTGAGTTGTCACTTTCAAGGGGGTGTTGGATTGGCCATGGGTGATTGGTAGCCATCGTCTAGGCGCATTTAAATCTCCTTCCTATGATTCAAGATTGCTCGCCCTCACAACTCCACTCCCCTTTTCTGCCTAATAAAATGAGATCCTAGTTGTCTCACCATTTTCTCTTCAGCTGGGCTGGAGACTCGGTTTCCCTTCCCAAATAAAACCTGTTGGTCTGTTGAAGTTGGTCTTTTTCTGTTCGCTTTCTTATAGCCTCACCACAGGTCCCAAAGCAACTCCCCATGGACCAAACTCCCCCTCCTCCTCCTCCTCCTCCTCCTCTTCAGCTGATGGCCTCAGGCATCTTGTTCTAGTCAGGCAAAGCTGGCTGGCACATTCATGCCAACTCTTGGCGGCTCCGTTGGTGATGCTCTTGCTTCTCTCCATGTACAACTTCGCTGCCACCCAGCACTTTTGTCCTTGCCTGGGGTGCCACGGAATCCAGGAATTAGGCTTATCTGAGCTGCTTTTCTGAAGTCTTTCTACATATTCCCTGCCCCTTCCCCCAATAAAAGGGAAGAGGTATATGTAGATGGAATGTGGTCTCTCTGCTGCCTGCGGAAAGAGAGGTCGGGGCTGGGAGCGTGTCAGAGCAGGCTTTAATGTCACGCGTCTGCGGGCAGCTGGTGTGTGGTTTCAGTCCTGGTACCAGCAATGTGTGTCTATCTCACTGTCCTGCCCTTCACTGCTCTCCTGCATCCCACGGTGAGATTTTTTAAACTATATTTTTTATTGTAAAGATTCTGTAGAGGGGTTACAGTTACATGAGTAAGGTAATGAGTACATTTCCTATGGAGCATTGTTACCCCCCTCCCGTGAGATTCTTCAGGATAACCCCCCGCCTCCTTCCCTCTCAGTGCCTGGCATTTGAACAATTCAACTCTTAAGTTCCAAAGTCTCCAAGCCTTCCAGCTGCCCTGGGGGTACACAAACCCAGTACCCCATAATTCTAAGGCTTAACTGCTTGATGGAGACAGGAATCCCCCTTAGTTTCTTGTGATGAGTCTTTCAGGAGAAACCAAGTCACACTTAACTTCTTATATACTTTATGCTGTAGGGTCTCCAGGTTGGTAAAATTTTAAAGGTATTTCTTCTTTGGGAATCATTGCTTCCACTTTGAGTCCAATAGAGTTTCTCTGGGTTGGAATTACTGTGCTCCTTGTGATTCAGGGAAGCAAAGAGAAGTTAGAGAAGTTACTAAGGCTCTCTTTGGTGTTTTTTATTATTATTTTCTTGCCAGTCCTGGAGCTTGAACTCGGGACCTGGGTGCTGTCCCTGAGCTTTTGTTCTCAAGGCTAGCACTCTACCACTTGAGCCACAGCACCACTTTTGGACTTTTCTGAATAGTTTATTGGAGCTAGTCTCACAGACTTTCCTGCCTAGACTGGCTTTGAACGAACCTGTGAGCCACCTCTTCAGGATTTTAGAACACTGCTTTTGGGTTGGTAAGATTGAAACTGTGAGGTGATAAAGTGGGCGAGTGTATCTTTGCAAGTCTGTGCACAAGATCAGGCTGTACCAGCAACACACCAGAGCCCCTGGGGGGGGGGGGTGAGGGAGGAAGAAGTAGCCCTTAATATGAGCAAAAAAACAGTAGATGCATGTTAATAAGAAAATGCAAATTACTATCATTATTTATTATGCATGGCAGAGTTACACAATATTTTATTATACAGTAGATAAATCCTAAAGAAATGCTATTTATAGACATTTTGCCCCATCCTCAACTCCCCTTAATCTCCTCTCAAAGCATTTAACCCAAGTTCAACAGCTGTGTGTGGTTTTTTTTTTTGGGTCCGTTCGTGGGGCCTGAACTCTGGGCCTGGGCGCTGTCCCTCAGCTCTTCAGCTCAAGGCTAGCACTCTACCACTTGAGCCACAGCGCCACTTCCGGCTTTTTTCTTTTTGCTTATGTGGTGCTGAGGAATCGAACCCAGGGCCTCAGGCATGCAAGGCAAGCGCTCTACCACTGAGCCATCTTCCCAGCCCCTGTTTTTTTTTTTAATGTATGTTTTAAATCCATGAAACATTGAAAATCAGAGGAAGAGTGTTAAGTACCAGAAACTGAAGAGAGTTCCAAGTCAATACAAAAACTTTTAAACCTGAAGATACTATATGTTTCAAATAGAGACAATCAAAATAAATTTAAAAATTGACTTTAGCTAAAAAGCTTTTTTATTTAATTTTTACTTTTAAAAGTGAAGTACCAGCCAGGCACTGGTAGTTCATGCCTGTAATCCTAGCTACTCAAGAGGCAGAGATCTGAAGATCACAGTTAAAGCCAACCCGGGCAAGAAAGTCTGTGAGACTATCTACAACAAGCCCCCAGGAAACAGGAAGTGATGCTGTGGCTCAAGTTGTAGAACGCTAGCTAGCTTCGAGCTGAAGAGCTCAGGAAAAGCGCTCAGGCTCACAGTTCAAGCCCCATGACTGACCAAAAAAAAAAAAAAAATGAAGTACCTTCATTGAATTATTGCTCCAAACTGAAGAGAGCTGACAGCTGTGTAGAAAGTTAGAACTCCTGGTATGTTCATGAAGATGAAGGCTAAACAACAGTATCTTGAAAAAAGTCCTGAAATTTGAAGGTCATTTAAGGTATAGATTTTAGAGCTAGAAGCAGTGGCTCATACTACAATCTCAGCTACTCAAGAGATCAGGACAACGTGGTTTAAAACTAGCCTGGGTAAAAAATGAGAACTCATTTTACCAAATATGGCATGGTAATACATACCTGTAATTCCATCTACAAGGGAGGAACAGGAAGATTTGCCCAGACCAGCTCTAGGCAAAAAGGAGGTAGGGCTCAAGTGGTAAAGAGTGACTACCTGGCAAGTGTCAGGCCCTGAGTTTAAACCTTGGTACTGCCAACACACACATACACACACACACACAAATGAACAATAAAATAAAATAAAAACGATGGTAATAACGTTTAACAAAAGTACATTTCTTTCTTAAAGGGGTATCTACTTTCCCAAGTCACATAAGAGTAAATGATTTTATACCCTCTGAATTTTTTCTTCTTAAACATGTTGGACAAAAACCAATTTATTCAGTATGTCATAGTTCAGCAAATGTCAAGCACCATTGGCCTGTTAACTGCAGGATATCCTCAGTTTGTGCCAATTGATTAAAAAATACTTTCTTAATGCTACATTTGAATTAAGTTCCTTGTTTTGATACAACTTCATAATTTCCTTCTGTGGTTCAGGTGATCTGAAAGTCTCATGGAGGAATCTTGCAGAGTGAACATATAAAAGGGCTTGCTGGGGAAATGTTTTCTTGTTATTGGTGAGGCTGGAACTCTGGGCCTGGACAATGTTCCTAAGCTCTACCACTTTGAGCCACAGTGTCACTTCTGGTTTTCTGGTGGTTCACTGGAGATAAGTGTCTTCTGGACTTTCTTGCCCAGGCTGGCTTTGAACCACGATCCTCAGATCTCTGCATCCTTAGTAACTAGGATTACAGGCATGAGCCACTGGTGCCAGGCTTGGGGAAATGTTTTTTATTGCAAGATCCCAAATGCCTTGCAGTGGCTGCTGTGTTTGGGTAGTGACAGAGCTCCATTCCTTACCTATAGACTTCAGATTCATCCATCTGGGAATGACTGAACACTGGGGAAGACTGAATGGGGAGATCTTGCTGTGATAAATTTCACTCACACACACACAAATCGTGTTGTTTATTTTGAAACAATTAGAATTAGAAAGTTATTCCAAAGTCTGAAGTACAGTGTTATGAGAAACTAGAAAACAATT